TGGAGCCTTGGATGAAGATAACATAGCTTATAGCGGAAAACTTTACCCCAGGATTTACAAAATGCAGACTCAATACTTTTATCCTAACCTAGGATGTCTACACTCAGCACCAACCAATTCCCATACAGGACCTACCTTACCAGTGTATAATGTAAAACACCTCTAAGCCAGCCTGTATACAGACATCTAGGCAGAATACAAACAGGTGCACTGCTGCTATCAGATCTTGTACACCCACTTGAAAAGCCATTGTCAACATGTTTGTATATGATGCTGGGGTTCGATAAACCCATGTACGATTACCTTTGTTCTGTGAAAAAAATAAAGAATTTAAAAAAATTTAAAAAAAGAGAGGATAAGTGCACATGTGATTAATTTCAAATATAGGTTCCCTCACTATGATCAATTACGAGGTTGGTCATAAGCATATGTTTAACCTGCTTTTCATTTCATCACTCCATACTCTATAGGTCGGCAATTTGTAAATCAATTGTGTTATCAAAGTCCAAGTCTTCCTTCCTAGTATTGGTATGTGCATTAAACAACTACACTTAATTAATTATAATCAGCATTGTTCAAGTTATTTATTTTTGGTATATTAATAGGACTCCCTGCATTTTATTGGGTCCACACCTCCTTCCTCTTTCCCTTGGTATACAAACTTACAGTGGTTACATAAAATAGCAAGAAACAATAAGGCGGTGTTACATGTAAATTTGACACTTGTAATATAACGGGCCTCAGACAAATCTTCCTTCTTTTCAGACCACATATACCATTGGTATATACACGGACAGGTATCACTACTGACTCTAACCACTTGGTGTTCTAGACTTTAGCATGGCATCTTTTCACTATACAGACTCTCATACAAATGGCTCATACTATGTCTCGTTATTATTTTTAGACTCTTGAGGGTGTCACAGTGACGCGGCCACATAGCTGCTATTTCAAATTGAGAAGTCTTGATTGAGAACTTTTGGAACGGTACCAGGTAGACCTTTTTCTTTGGTGAGAGATGTAATGTTACGGTTACACTTTCTGATTGAGATATGATTCTCCTTCCCACATATCCTTAGGGGGCTCGACTATACAGATACAGCAAAAGCTTGGCATACAACTCTATTCAGTACTTATAGGTACGTTTTCACCCATTAGCTCATAGAGGTTTCCATGTTTCTACCAGTCCGTTAGACTAGTAATAGTACTGGCTACCAGGGTAATAGGGGCAATATTTAGCTTTCTCAGGCCTTCTATGCCTAATACTAGTGGTACCGAAAGGCCAACACCCATCCTCATACTCTGAGGTATTCAGCCATCGGTCCAACACATAGTTAGCCGCCTTGCAAGTTACATAGAGAGGGCCTCACTTATCACTCCAAATTCAATTTTCTCTTAATGTCACAGAGTGGCCAACATCCCACCACTATGTTACGTGGTAAATAGGCCCTCGGTCCAACTCATAGTTAGCAGCCCTGGAGACATTATTCTAATTACAATTCTCATTTTTAGTATGTCAAAAGTTCCAGAAAAGGGAGTTGAGCTTTCACTCCCTAGCACCTCAGCCAGGTCGGGTTCACCATATATGAGTGTAAAATCTTGATATCCACAAGTGAATATAACAGAAAAAGAGAAGAGGGAATAAGACAGATATTCAATCAATAAATAAATCAAGCTCTAAAACTGGAAAAGTTTAGGAATTCTATAAATCCTATAAAAATCCTATAAAACATAAACGCATATACACAATAAAGTGTGAGTATCCAGGAGCTATAAATTAAAAGGGAAATATACGTAATAGAGTGAGGTAAAAATAGAATACAAATGATAAACAATAAAAATGACAAATTATGCAGAGTGGTGTGCAGGTTACTACTTAATAAAATCACTATAATGGAGAAGTCCAAAACAACGTCCAAAAGGAAGTAATACTTCAATTTGCAGAATATATATCTCTATATCTATTAGTCCCAACAAATTAATAAGTCCTTGTTCTGTATCATAAATATCCTTAACCTTACTTGTAAAAACAACACAGGGTTTATAGGTATCTATGTTGTTTATATACTTTTATATGTATAAAAGTATATATAAGTGTGTGGGCAGGTGTATTAGTACAGAGAGCTAATAGCCTAAATTAAAGTCTTAGATGACACAATGTGAAAATAAGTATCAAAAATGTAGCAATTGTAAAAATTCAAAATAAAGGTAAGAAACTAAAAACAAAAAAATATAAGAAAAAAAAAAAAATATATATATAAATATATATATGTGAAAGAAGTGACTTGTCTTTTCAAACCGATCTAGTTTATTCATTAAGAATTAAAAACAATTCAATATAAAAAACAGTTCCAAATGCAAAAATAAAAAAATAACGATCAGGATATTAAACCCGGATTGTTCCAGACCCGGATTGATGAGGATTGTGGTGGTTGGTATCCTCTCAGTGTTCCAGCAGCCGGTGAGGGCGGCATGCGTGTCCCTTTGCGTCTCACCTCCGACCTCACATCGAGAGGTGAACTCCGGTGTTTGGATGACGTCAATGTCGGGTCTGGGATCACAAATTCTCTCTGTGCAGTCTCTCACCATTCTGTCATATTAATGTGATACATAACCTAGATATAGTGGTGTACATATTGATTTTATCAGGTTATAAAAGATTGATCTTGTCAAAGTATCATAAAAGGAACAATGTTTGGTTGTCATCACGTTAACATTATGCAAAGGTGGATCTTTATGGAGTATGTATATAGCTAGATCTCTAGACCGCCAGCTGATAGAATATATGAAATAAATGTAGCAGACATCCCTTCGACAAATTTCAAACAAAAAAATTAGAGTCATTTTATATTTATTATTGAAATCTACTCTTCCACAATAGTAGAAAAACAACTGTGGTCTAGGAATTTCAAAAAAAAGGTGAAATGTGTGTAATATGTCAAGGTAGCGTTGGAATTATCTGTATAAAATACAAGGAATCACAGGAGATCACGTTACAAAGGGGTCACTCGCCTAAACAATGGATTATGTGTATCCTTGATCCACAAATGGGATCAGGAAATCCTATTAAGGTAAAACTGCAGGTGAAGGAAAATATAGCAGTAATCTAGTATATAGTCATCTTAAAACAAAAGACAAGGATATGGGGAAAAGATTAGATTTGAGAATAAACTTGGGATTTCGGGTATATGTATATTTTTTTTATATAACATATAGTACATTATAAATAACATAGGTGTTATATATAACAATAATATAACAATAAAAATAGGTGTGATACTATTACAATAAATAGATGAAATGGATAAAATTATATAATCAGAGTAATCCTGAACAACCTCAGTCTAGAGGAATGATAATAAAATCAGAATAAATATAGAATGAATATAGGGTGTGTTGGAAATACTCTTGGGCAGAACCGCATATGTGACTGGGGATAAGCGTAAAGAGAAAAGTGATATGAATAAAGACCAGAAAAATTGATGTTAAAAATGTGAATAGATAAAAGAGACCAGAAATAACAGATGATCAAAGATTATAAAAAGGTGTTTAGTTAGAAATCCACATAAAGACCTTTAGGTACTAGAGTATTAAGGGCAAATATCCATTTTTCTTTCTAAATCTCCTCCTCTCCACTGAATATTCACTTTTTCTATTGGTAAGAACTCCAGACTAGTTGGATTTCCGCTATGGATTTCTTTAAAATGTTTAGATAAATTATGTGTGGGTAGACCTCTCTTAATATTACGGATATGTTCTGAAATCCTTGTCTTGAGAGGTATTTTAGTTCTTCCCACATATTGCTTAGGGCATGAGCATGTGATGAGGTACTGCAGTTCACATCGGATGTTAGTTTGTATTCTTTTCCATCATCTAAAGATGTGAATTTCGTACTCTTTATTTCTTGGCAAGGCTTGCTCTTACATACTTGGCATTTTTTCGAAACGTGAGAAAACTTTAGTTAGTTCTTTTTTTTGGGTTAGATGAGTAGGCTTTAAAGTTGGAGCCAGCATTAATTTTAGGTTGGGGGCCTTCGTGAAGATAATTTCAGGTTTATCTGCAAGGAACTGTAATAAGCTAGGATCCCTTTTAAGGATTCCCCAATGCTTCTTCAGAATACTCTTTATGACATGCGATTGGTTATTATATGTTGTTATAAAAACCGGAGTCTGGTTCTGTGTTGTCGGGAGTTTGGCTTTATTTTGCAGTGTTTCTTCTCTTGGGATGGTTATGGCTCTTTCTAATGCTTCTTCCAGGAGTGGGAGTGGATATCCTTTCGTAGCAAATCTTTGTTTCATATTCTCCATTTGTTCTCTACATACCTTTTGTTGTGAACAATTCCGTCTTATCCTTCTAAATTGACTATGGGGGATATTTTTAAGCCATGTGGGTTTGTGATGGCTATGAAACGGGATAAAACTGTTACAGTCTACACTCTTTTCATAAGTCTTGGTATGTAGTTCTCCTTCCTCGATATATATACATAAGTCTAAAAATTCAATCTGTTCCGTGGAATGTAAAAATGTGAATTTGAGGTTGGATGGGTTATGTTTAAGATACATTTTAAAATTCTCCAATGATTCCAGATCCCCACTCCATATAAAAAAGCAGTCCTCAATGGCCAGTTTTATCTTCAGTTGGAAGGAACAGCCATGGGAACAAGTTTTGTGCCGAATGGACAGTGGTCCCAGATGTATTCATCTTCCCACTTGCCCATATATAAATTGTCATAACTCGGCACAAAACTTGTTCCCATGGCTGTTCCTTCCAAATGAAGATAAAACTGGCCATCTGACCAAAAATAATTGTGACCTAGGATAAAAGCTATACATTGAATTAAAGAATCTATTTGGTTGTTTTTGAGTTCCGAATAGACTGCCAGGGAATATTGAATGGCCTCACATCCTTGAAGGTGCTCAATTACAGTATATAATGAGGTGACATCAGCTGTTACTAAAATCATATATATATATATATTTATTTATTTAATTCTTTATTTTATTGCGCATAAAATATTACAAAACATGTATGACAGACGCCACAACAGTGTAACAATCAATATTTCAGGATATGCAGGCATCAGAATCTGCAAATTTTTTTCCCTTTTCACAATTTTAACATAGAGTAGGGTAACGGAATATAATGCTAGAGAATTCAGTCAATGAACATAATACAAATTTGATCAGAAGGCATAGATTCAACTCGTAGGGTTGTATATTTGGTAGTGCATAACTGGGGTGGAGGGGTGAGGTAGAGGTGATGTAGGTAGTGAGGGGGTCGTATGGGGACGGCACTTGGATAACCCTAACGACCTAGGTAGGTCAACCACGGTTGCCATGTTAGGGTGTATACGGTATATTTATTTGAATACGAGGCATCTAATTCTTCCATGATCCGTATGAATTCCACCTTCTGTATCCAATCACGTACTGATGGGACTACAGTGCTCTTCCATTTTAGTGGTATCAACATGTTTGCTGCTGTCAGCATATGGTTGACGAGCTTGCGCTGGTAACTTGGCATGTGGGTGGTGTGCATGAGGAATAAAAAAGTTTTGGGCGAGTGTGATATCTGATGACCAGTGATAGATGTTATTAAACTTCTCAGTCTCTGCCAATAAATTTGGATGGTTGGGCATAGCCACGAGATGTGGGCTGTGGTTCCCTTAGGTTGCCCGCATCTCCAACATATATCAGGCACTGTCGGGAAGAGTGCATGTATCTTAGTGGGTGAGTAATGCCATCTGGATATTCTTTTGTATGTGCTTTACCTTACGTCTGTGCTTTACCTTACGTCTGTGCTGATAGACATGGTATGGGCGTGTTTGAATGCCGACGTGAATGTGGGCAGTAGAGTGTGGCTTGTGGTGCTAAGGAGTTTGTAAAATATAGATAAGTGTTTGGTCTGGAGGCTAGGTGTGGTGCAATGGGTTTCAAAAGTGGTGTGTGCTCTTGTTCCCTGGAGAAGGTGTAAGTCCCCCTTCAGAAAGTGGGCCAACTGGGCGTATTAGAAATGTTGTTTGGTAGTGGGGTGGTCTGTGGAGGTTAACATAGATAGTGGAACTACTCCTGCTGGTATCACAACCGTGCCAACCATTGGGTATCTTGTCTTTTGGGTTGGTGGGAATTGAGAGAAGAATTGCAGGCGTATGCCTGGTAAAAACTTTGGGTTGTGTGCCAGAGGATAGAAAGGCGAGGGGTGCAGTGAGATATCTTTCTGAAATCTAAAGCGTGACCACTGACGTAATGTGGGTAGAATTGTTGGGTGATACGAGTGTTGGGGTAGGAGGAGTGTATGTCCCTCGTCATGCCATGGAACTGTGTATAGTGGGGATTGTAACATTGAGCTTTCTATGTGTACCCATTGCTTTAGCGGGTGCACTGCAGTCCACTCGTATATTCTAGTCAATATGACCGCTTGGTAGTAGCGTTCCAGGTGGGGTAGTCCCAGTCCCCCCCGTCCTCTGTGTCTAGTCAGGACTGAGTAAGTTATTCTCAGGCGCTTATTCGCCCAAATGAATGTCGTGAACATTTGTTTGAGTTTGGAATCACAATGGGGAGTGTTTGTAGGAGGTATAACACTTTAGGCAATGTATTCATCTTCAAAGCCAGCTGAAGACTGGTCTCTGCCAGTCCCTGAGATCTTTTGAGATCTCGGTGAGTAGTGGTATAAAGTTTAGATCATATGCATGCCTCAGGTGTCTGGGTAGATGGACCCCTAAATAAGTGATGGACCTCTTAGCCCACGTGAAGGAGTAAGTGGCTTTGAGTGCAATTTGTGTATGTCTGTCCAGTCGGAGGGGTAAGATTTCGCTCTTTGTGTAATTGACCTTAAAGTTGGATAGTTTGCAAACGCAGAGACCTTGAACTCCTGTTGGTGAACGGTGTGGCGAAACTGACCCCCCCACTGGTTTTTGGAGGGGCCTGTTTGCCAGCATGTAACGGATCACCTGGCACCCCGACTGGGTACCTCCGTTGAAGGATGCTCCTCGGAACCGGGGGATCTGGGTAAACCACATATCCAAAATTCACCCAGATCCGTTCAGTAGTTTGGAAGATACAGTTTAATGCAGATTCCGCAGAACATATACAGGCTATATGAAAACTAATTACTGTATGATGTGTCCCCTGTTGTATAGTTTAAAACTACTGCACGATGTCTTTGTGCACCAAATACCGGCGAGATGGCACCGTGTAGAAAAGTCCAAACAGTGTCTGTGAGTTAAAATGGCCGCCATCCATTGTTCTCACCATGTGTTTCATCCATTGTTCTCACCATGTGTTTCATCTATTGTTCTCACCATGTGCCCCTGATACATGAAATGGTGGCCACCCAGTAACTCCACAGTATGTCCCCAGATGGTTCTTAAAGGGCCAGCAGCAGCATAATAAAATACAATATGCCCAAATCAGTTCCTAGAAGGGCAATACATCCTAGGGCCATAGTCACAGGGCAGGAGGCTGGCAAACAGGCCCCTCCAAAAACCAGTGGCGAGGTCACTTTCGCCACAAACGGTAAAGCCGTGAAAGGAGCTGTGGTCTCGTATTCCCTGCATGAAGGGTTCTAGAGAGAAGATAAAGAGTAGAGGGGAGAGAGGGCACCCTTGTCTCGTGCTGTTTATTCTCAATTTCGCCGTTGGGTAAGAGTATATGGCTCCCATCCATTTCATCCAATATGGGCAAAAACCCATGGTTTGAAGGGTGGTGGTCAACATTGTCCAGTCTACTCTATCAAATGCTTTTTCTCGTCTATAGATAGCAGTAGGCTCTGCCCTTGAGTGGTGTGGGAGAAGTGAATGAGATTTAGTATTTTTGTTGTGTTCTGCTTGGCCTCGCATTTAGGGACAAATCCAGTGTGTGACGAAGTGCCCTTCGCCACTTGTGCCTGGAGAGGACTGCTTGCCCGCCTCTTGCCCTGTGACTATGGCCCCTGGGATGTATTGCCCTTTAAAGACATGATTTGGGCATAATGGATTTATGTTGTGCTGCTGCTGGCCCTTTAAGAACCATCTGGGGAGATACTGTGGAGTTAATGGGTGGCCACCATTTCCTGTATCAAAAGCACATGGTGAGAACAATGGATGGCGGCCATTTTAACTCACAGACACTGTTTGGACTTTTCAACACGGTGCCATCTCGCCAGTGTTTGGTGCACAGAGACATCGTGCAGTGGTTTTGGACTATACAGCAGGGGACACATTATAAAGTGATTGTTTTTCATTTAGCCTGTATATGTTCTGCAGAATCTGCATTAAACTGTATTTTCCAAAGTACTGAACGGATCTGGGTGAATTTTGGATATGTGGTTCAACCAGATCCCCCGGTTCCAAGGATATATTTTTATGGGGTTATTGCATGTTTTGGGGTCCCTGTGTGTTTTATGAAACTGTATTATTTCTGGCCAGCAGATAATTGAGCTTTGTGTATTGTAGAAACTCAATTATCTAGCCTGGCCCAGAGGAGGAGTTTTGTGTTGCTTAAATTGTGAGTTCTGTGTGCCAGTAAATCAGTCTTGTTACAGCATTAAGCCTTGGCTCATGTTTGGGGGAAGGGATACCTACACTCTGGGGATTGCTATAATCACTTACTCCCCAGAGGAAGCTCTTGCAATAGCTTGATTTGTTCCTGTTCCTGCTCTCTGGGGAAAGAGAGGTTAACCCACTGGAAGCTGGATCCTGGCCTTGGGTCCAGGGTGGGTGGAAACAGCAGAGACCCCGGCGCAGTTGCATCGCTGGAAGTGGGGTCTGCAGTGCTGATGGTGTCGGTTGGAGTGCTTGGAGTCCTCAGCGAGCACTAGGAGCATTGATTGGCGGAGGTACTCAGTCGGAGTGCCAGCGTTCCGTCACATTTGGTGGCAGCGGCGGGATGGCGTCCTAGTGCGAGGACCAGCAGCTCGGAGACACCGGTAACCTTGGAGTTACGGATTTATAATTGAGGGCAACGCTAGCCTCTGCGCAGCGTCCCTACCTACAGCAACATGGAGCTAGCAAGACCCTGGACAGCAGCCAGTGAATTGCAAATCCGCCTGTCACAGTGCTATGAGGGTGCTGATTTCATGAAGGAAGTAAAGGCGCGGCTGGTCTGGTTTGGCCCAAACCCTTCAGATGAGGTGGTCCATCAAGTGATGCGCATGTTGAGTGCTGAGAACCAAGACGCACGGAACTTCGAGTACCAACTGTGGAGTTTGGGGGTATTGACACCCCGTCTCCAGCGACAGAGTGAGTTACAGGGAGAGGAGAGCAGCGACCTCCCATCCCAGCGGCAGTGCACCGTACAGAGGGAAGAGACAACCAGTCTCTCTCCCCAGCGGCGGCCTGAGTTCCAGGAGGAGGTGGCCTCCCTCTCCAACAGCAGCCGGAGGTGGGCGACCTCATAGACTTTTCCTGGGGACACAGAGAGATGGCAAGCGGAGATGGGACCGAAGTCTCTCTGCCGGCCCTACAGGGATGCTGGGCAGTCAGCCCAGGTCCCCAACGGCAGTATAATATACAGGGAGAGAAGACAACTGGTCTCTCTCCCCAGCGGCGGCCTGAGTTCCAGGAGGAGGTGATGGTCGATCCCTCCACCTTACAGCAACCAGCGTCCTGGGGAGTGGGGGCAACCAGCCTCCCCCTCCAACAGCAGCCAGAGATACCGGGAGAGGGGGAAGACAAACCTACCCACACTGGCGCAGATGGGACCGCGGTCTCTGTGCCAGTCCTACAGGGAGGCTGGACGGGTGGTCCAGATCCCCAACCAACCCCGCAGGGATGCCAGGAGGAGGAGGTAAGCGAAACTTCCCCTCCCCAGCTACATCCCAACCGGGTCCTGGGGGCAGTGGATGAGCCTGCGATACCCACTGACACCCTCCCAGCAGAAGAGCTGGCATCTGGGAAGAGCTCTGTTAGCCTCTGCCCCCCCTTTTCCCCTGTATCAGAGCCTGACTTACCACGGGTTACCCCAGCAGAAGAGCTGGCATCTGGGAAGAGCTCTGTTAGCCTCTGCCCCCCCATTTCCCCTGTATCAGAGCCTGACTTACCACGGGTTACCCCAGTGGAAGAGCTGGCAGCAGGGCAGAGCGCCGCTGGCCTCTGCCCCCCAAGCAACACCAGCAGTTTGCCTAGCTGCACCAGGGAGACCGAGAGTGCTGCGCTGTCCCACTACAAACTTGAACCTACAGGCCAGTACCATTTATTGTGGGGGGGTTACTCTGCGTATTTTTCT